ATATTAGTACTCTTATTAATAGATAACGATAACGATAGCGATAACAAATTTTCCTAAATCTGGGGTTTATCCTAAATCTGGGGTTTAGATATCTATCCAACAACCATTTATATATAATCTGCAAAAGCATGCATGATCGTAATACCATACCGATATAGTAAATTTAATTCGTTTACCGATATCGATATAAAGTTGTCCATCTACGTATAAAGTCTTCCACAATTCTCTTATTTTGAGATGTCGACGTCTTCAACAACTTCAACTAACACCCCACGTTACGGTGCTCCTCCAGTAATCCAAAAACCCATTCCTATAACTAAAAACGGCGTCATAAAAATAAAAGAACTTAGACCATGGATTCGTGGCTTTGACTTGAAATGCATCATATTGCAACATGGTATGTTATCTTTATTTTACAAATTTTATTATTCGAATATTTAATCTCATTCATCTCTAATTTATAGTTTCATCTCGTGCTTTGAAGTCTATAGCAGAAGTTGAGATTCATAACTTTCTTGTCGCAGACGATACAGCGGTGTGTACTCTTGTGATTTGGGAAAATGGTCAATATTACAAAAGTGGTGACATTGTTCAAATCACTCATGGGTAAGAACTTTTATTTCATTTTATTGTAATCTTTAATTATTCCAAAATGTTAATCAATATATATTTTTTTTTTTTATAGTGAAACCAGAATTCATGAAGGTACATTCGAATTAACTGTAAATAAAAATTTTGGAAAAATAAAAGTTGTTGATTGGTGATTATTTATACTCAATTAGAAACGGTTATTGTGATTATTATTATTCTTTATTATTATGAATATTGTTGTTATTATTAATATTTAATTATTTTTTATATATAATTATAGGGATGTAATGCCATATGTCGAAGAAGAATATCCCAACTTGAGTAGTTTATTATGGGTCCAGGAAGATGATAACCAATTTGTAAGATTATCCAATCAATTAAAAAGTATTGAAATTCTTGGATATAGGGTTTATTTTCGTTAAAATACTCACATTATTCTTTCCATAAAAGGTTCCAATGACTCCTAATCGTGTGCCTCTTGATTTAGTAACTTTTAAACCAATTGAACAAAACTCTCAACCTCAGAGAAATACTAATGACTTACTAATACAAACGAAAACTCAATTAACAAGTACTGAAATTAAACAAGAGGAAGACGCTAAAATAAAATTAGAAGAGGAGGAGATGAATGGTGCTCCGAATAACGTCTCTGAAGTAAAACTAGAGCAACAGCATTCACGTCCTCAACCATGGCGTCAACCGAGTGAATCTCGACAGCACCTATCATCTCAACCATCTGATCGTCCGCGCGGTGCCAAACGTAAACAATCTTATCAAAGACGTGATAGCTGGTGGGATAATCGCGATCGTGATCAAGACAGAGATGGAATGAGAGGTGATTCGAGAAATGATCGTGGTGATCGTGGTCGAAATCAGGACAATAGACGTGGGCGTCAACAACCACGTAATCGAGGTCGTGATTGGGACCGAGGTAGAGATAGAGATCATCGTGAACGTGATCGAGAGTGGGAATACAATAGGCCACATACTGATCTTGATCGGCCGGAAGAGGGTGAATTGGTGGACATTGATTTTGCATCCTTTTCTGCTGGTATGAACCGAGGAGACAATAATCATTCTGTTCGAAAACAACAAAGGATTGATTGAACGAACCACGTGATAGACATTGATGTATTTAACATTGAAGATAATTTTTTAATAAATTTTGGTATTATTTAAATTCATAACCCACAATTTATTTATAGTATGTAGTAGGTATTTCTATCGAATGATCGGAGATTACTAGTGTAAAATTCTGAAATTGTTTTATTATATAAATAAGATTGATTGCTTTCTCGCCTGCTGTTTTTTTTTTTTTATTTTAACAATTTCTATGCTTGTTTTTACACTAAAATCAACATTAGGAACATTTAGGTAAGTTACACTTGGCAGAATTTATAATAGAATTAAGCACTAAATAAGTAGGGTTAGAGGCCCAGAAAGTATTTGGACATGTCCCTTATTATACTCGTGCATGCGTCTCGTAGGTAGATCGGGTGCACTACACTTTTGTCTTATATTCCTGAAGAAAGGGTAAATTTTATAGACGCCTCTCTCGATGCCGAATTCTTGAAGGAGGGGGTAAATTATATAGATCTCGCTCCATGAAGGGGTAAATTATACTGTATAGATGTCTCCTCCATGCCGAACTTGTTCTGTTATAAAGTGATCTCTGAATTCTGGAACTGTTACCCGGGTAAGATTAACATCTTTGCGGATCATGGGTTAAAAATTGCTTCGACCCGGATCAAACCGGTTATCTCCAAAATAATACTTGCCTTGATTAAGACACGGGTATTATTCACCGCCGACCGGTTTGCTTCTTGAATAATACCAACTATATTAGTTTACTTTTTATATTATCCCCAAATATAGTATCCAGTTTCTCACGCAGGTACTAAAAAAATGATGTTCTTTAATAAAACCCGGGTATTGCATGCAGTGACCAACAGACGGTGGCTTTAATAGACCCAGAATTTCCTGATATAGAAAATGAAAGAACTTAAAATACAGGCAAGGTCTTCAATGATTTTGACCCGGGTCACAACCCGTAGGGTTATACGTAATTATACCGGTATAATAA